GATCCAACTTTTTTTTGGACGTTTTTCAATAGTAGAAACATTAAAAGAAAAATATTTTTTCAAAAAAAATTTCAACGACAATATGATTAACTAAAATTGCCAAGGTTCAATAAGTTTTCAATGAGGGCAGGGGACGGAGGTAATTTTATTTTTATTTTTTAAGATGAAAAAATTAAAAAATAATAATAAAAGAAATCGAAAATTGAAGTGATGGAAAGAAATCTACCTCTTGAATAATTTGAAATCATTAATTGGAAATAGAAAAGATTTGAAATTCAAAAATAGATTAATTGATAAACTTGAGAGAGACACCTTCTGAAAATCAAAATGAATTTGAAATTTGTAACTGATTAAGAAGTGGAGAGAATTTAGGAATAAAATGGAGGAGTGAAATGGGGAGTGGGAAACATGGGTGTAGGCTGAAAATTGGAGTGAAATATTTATGTATTCAGAAGATTTTATGAATTGGGGGAATTAAGGGATTTTTAGAAATATTTATGTATCCCGAAGATTTTATGAATTGGGGGAATTAAGGGATTTTTGATTTTTTTTAAAAAGGTAGGGATAAATGGATATTAAGGTAATAAAAAGATAGGGATAAATGAATATTAAGGTAAGTAAATGTGTGTATATAAGTAATTTTCCCTTATAAATTTTATTTACATATGAAATAAATGGTTAGTAGATATAAATGTGGGGTTGTTTTAACAAAATATAAACTTGTGGATCAATTTTTGTATTAAAAATATCTCAAATTATGATATGGTATTCCCATATCATGGTTTTTGGAGAATATGAAATCACATCTCATGATATGAAATCATGAGATGGAATCAGCGTAAAATCGCATGGAAACTTCAATAAATAGCAACAATCAGATATAATATTTACAAGCGTTAGATGTTAGTTCAATAATCCTATATATCATTGCCTAATCCAACGATCCTATTTATTAGTCAAATTTTAAGTGAGTGTGAATTCGTTTAAAAAGAACACTTGGATAAAACTGTATACAGAAGTTGAGAACATTTGAAGTGATTTAGATTGATCTTGAAATTAAAATTATATTTGAAATCAATATGAAAAACATCATTGTGATAATATATATCACATTCATATAGTGTATATCACGCATAATTTTTTATAAATTTTAAATATATACATGATATACAAGAAATACATATAGATATACAGGGATAGTGTTTCAATGATTGAAGGTGGAGGTAGTGTTAATGATGATGTTAATGTGGGTGTACTATGTGGTAAAGTAATGCTGAAGAAAATGATATTTTTTTTCCTTTTGCACTTGAATATTGTATAAAAATAAGAGGAAATACAACCAAATTGGGTAAATAATTGAAAAAACTATCTAATTATCCAAATATTCCTACCACATTTACTAGTTCTCCCAATAGTTTAAAATAATTACATATTGTCTCGTTAATTAATAATTTTACACCAAATTTCAAGTTAGATACACCTAAATACATTATGAAATACAGATATATAGGGAGAGAGGTGAGCGAGCAAGATAAGAGAGAGACAAGTGAGAGAGTCAGTGTATCTCAAATACATGCGAATCACGCTTGGATATATATAGTGTGTCTGTAACAAATATAATACCTAATTTGATCTCATGTATACAAAATACATGTATCCAGAGGATCGAAATCTGACGCAGATGATAATTTTAAAAACACACGTACGTGAAGACACGTAATTAGACTAGGGTTTGTGTTGTTTGCCTTAAATAATTTATAGTTGGGTCAAACTTGATGATAATTATTTGGGCGTATATTGAAAGAAGAGATAGTAAGGACAGAATCAAGAAGATAGCACTGCAAATACATATCAAGAGGCAGAAGCAGGCAAAGTGGACCACTATTCTGGCC